TTCATGGATGAACTAAAATTCAAACATGGTTATTTATTCTGAAAACAAACACTTGGATACTACTCATGAATCAAAGTGTTTTAGTTTGTTGGTGTTGCGGTGAGCAGCACATCCTTGATGAGGCTGTCAAGGTTGGCCATGGACCTGCCACCCGGCTGCGCGGTTGCACGGACACACATCTCCTCCCACTCGGCCGCCCTGCGCTTCATCTCCCTCCCAGCTCCCTCGCCTCCCATCACCTCCCTTATCCTGGCCTCCACCTCATCGCGGCGCACGTCGTCGCCGACCTCCATGCCGACGCCCCACTCGACACACGCGTAGCGGGCGTTGGTCTGCTGCTCGGCGAAGAAGGGCCAGCAGAGCATGGGCACCCCGGCGCTGATGGACACCAGGGCCGAGTTCCACCCGCTGTGGGTGAGGAAGACGCCGACGGCCTGGTGCCGCAACACCGCCTCCTGCTCGCACCAGCTCGCCAGGAGGCACCTCCCCTTGGTGGCCTCCAGGAACTCGGGAGGCAGCCGCACGGCGGCGCCCTTGGCCAGCAGGTCATTCCTCACGATCCACAGGAAGGGGTGGCCGCAGTTGGCCAGGCCCCACGCGAACTCCACCAGCTCCTCGCTGGACATGGTGGTGATGCTCCCGAAGTTGACGTACACCACCGACCGGGGCTCCCTGCCGTCGAGCCACTCTAGGCAGGAGCGGTCCTCCCTCCAGAGGCTGGCGCGTATCCGGGCGAGCGGGCCGGCTTCGCCCTTGTCCGCGAGGAGGTTGAGCGGGCCAATGGTGTAGACGCGCGGGAGCATGGCGCGCATGGCGTCCAGCGCCGGCTGCTCAAGCTCGTCCAGGGTGTTGACGATGACGGCGGCCGCGCGGCCCGCCTGCTCCGAGTGGTGCAGCAAGAAGTTGAGCATCACGTCGTCGCGGTCGGTGGTGCAGATGAAGGAAGGGAAGTCCCGGAGGCGCATGTGCCGGCTCATCCCGGGAGCCTGCGCCACCGGCGTGTCCAGGTACCCGTTGCTCAGCTGCGCTTCATCTGCTCCACGTCCACGACCACCACGACTAGCATATATTAGCAGTTACCACGTACGTATATACTGCAGTACTGGAGAGGTGAGGTACGCTCTACGTACCTTTGAGGGGAGCGATGCCCTCTTGCATGAGGAACCGGAAGTTGCGGTAGCCAATGTAGCCGCAGGCGCTGGCGGTCCAGAAGAGGACGCACGGCACCCCGATCTCCGCCGCCGCGTCCACGCTGAAGCTCATCACGTTGTCCGCCACCACGCACGTCACCGGCGGCCCAACCCTGTTGAGCTCCCCGAGCAGCCTCTTCAAGGGGGGAAGGCAGGTGGTCATCGTGGAGTAGCACAGGGAGGGTATGTCCTGCGTGGCATCCGCGTCCCATGGCGGCAGGCCGTCGGGGATGGTGGCGAAGCGGAAGTCCGGGAGGCCCTCCACGGCTGCGTCGCCGCGGGAGCGGACCAGGCGCCGGTGGTTGTACTCGGTGTTGACGAAGGTGATGTGGAAGCCCTTGCAGTGAAGAAGCTTGGCCAGCTTCAGCATGGGCGTGACGTGCCCCTGCGTCGGCAACGGCACGATCACCGCGTGAGGCTTCTTCATCTCCATGTT